AGAGCACCTGGCTTTTTCCAAGAAGCTGTGAAATGCATTAGTCCAAAAGTGAGAAACGCAGTCACTGGGACAAATTTGTCCTCGGTATTATTGAAGTTTACAGCAGCAATGCATTGGGCCTACTGTCTTTTCCAAGGAACTGCTGTGACCCCATCCCCTTTCACTGGCTTATGAACCCTGGTGCCATATTACTTTCTCTACCAGACCCGGGACACTTGGGGCCACATTTCTCAGTGTATTTAGGTGCCTAAAGATACAGAAGGGGGCCTATTGGATTTTCAAAAACGTTTACGAGTTTGGTGCCTGGAGAGACAAAGTGGACAAGGTGATATCTCTTATTGGATGAGTGTCTGTCGGTGAGAGACAAGCTTTCAAGCTACACAGAGCTCCGAGTCTGGGAAAGGTACTCAGAGTGTCACAGCCAAATACAGGGGTGAACAGAGAGTTTAGCACAGCGGCTCTCAACCTTTCCAGGCTACTGTACCCCTTTCTAGAGTCTGATGTGTCTTGTGTACCCCCAAGTTTCACCTCACTTAAAAACTTATAGAATCAGACATAAAAATGCAAGTGTCACAGCACACTATTCCTGAAAAATGGCTGACTTTCTCATTTTTCTCATAACATTATAAAATAAATCAATTGGAATATAAACATTGTACTTACATGTCAGTGTCTAGCATACGGCGCAGTAGAAACAAATCATTGTCTATGAAATGTTAGTTTGTACTGACTTTGGCAGTGCTTTTTATGTAGCCTGTTGCAAAACTAGGCAAATATCTAGATGAGTTGATGGACCCCCGGGAAGATCTCTGAGTACCCCCAGGGGCACACGTACCCCTGGTTGAGAACCACTGGTTTAGCATAAGTCGTTAGTGCATATTCTAAGGGACCTTTGAAGGGGCCCGGTTGCTTTTGAAAATCCCACTAGGTGCCCCTCTGTGGTGCTTGGCCCCGGCACACCTTTGGAAATCTGGTCCTTGGTCACTTTCAGCAGTGACTCAGCCTGCGCCCAGAAAGGGGCTTGGGAGGAGTAATGGCTCCAACTCAGGCAGGGGAGGAGCAACTTGGGGATAACAGCGAAACCCAAGAAACATTTCAGCTGCTACAAAATGGGGGTGGGAGGAGGGGGACAAGAAATAACTCTTCCTGATGTTCCCCC